CATATGCACCTTTATGGAATTCGAACTTCGAAAACATTTCTCGAGTATGCCAGCAGTGAACATGTTTAATCTGTTCATGATTAACCGGCTCGGTCTTGACCGATGAGAAATCCATAAAACCGTTCTTAGCGCCAGATATAAGCACGCTATCGCCGATGTGATTAAGAGCAACGTGTCCACCGTAGAGAAGAGTAACTGCTCGATGCCAGTGCGGCCAACTCGCGACGTGTGAACAGCATCTCTCGAATTCAGAGAACTCCTGGGTAAGTAACCATCTCATAACGGCAAGGACCAGCCTGGCAGTGGCTCTGAACAACTTGAGATTACCAAACCAGGTGCTCCCAAGGCTTTTCAAGTCCTTGTCATCGCGAAGGCCAAGGGTCTTCGTAACGTACTTGAGGTGCATATTAGCGTTCTCACTCGAGTAGCCACCCCGGCCCACGATGAGCTGGTCGCGCTCTCCCGGGATCCAGTCGGCAAAACCAGGCATGAGGAAGGTATCAAGATCCGTGCGAAGGATGTAGTCGTACTCGAAGTCTTCGTACTCAGCGATAGTAACCATACAGTCAACATAAGCAGTGTAGTCACGCAGTGGATCACTGGGCTCACTAGCTGGTGTTGGTCGATCTCCCAAAGGCTCGTACGACAGAATGATGCACCGGCTGGGGTCTCCTCTGGTCTCGCGTCGTTTGATAGAACAACCAATCTTTTCTGCGACCTCCCGACCTTCGCCAGCAGTGAAAATTACGAAGTCAGTACGGAGGTCGCTAGGTTCGTCCAGTCTCACCAACAACCATGATAAGAACAGAGCTCTTAGTTCCCGACGGAAACGCGGAGCAGGAGCGACCGGTAAGAAGACCATAACAGCACGGGTGGTAGCATTGTACGGTCGACCAGATAGTCCGGCTAGGTCGGCGACAACCTCGTCGACGGAAGCAGCAGCTTCGGCTACCCGCGACTTGAGAATCTCCCGTCCTTCGTCGACTTTCCAGTAGTCCTCGCTGCTCACGAGATGGAACACGCTCGAGTTCGACGACACCAATGCCTCGGTGGAAGTTGCGTTGGTGACCTCGAGAGTGATGGTAGACGAGTTGAGTAGTGAAGAGACCGTCGGTAAGCCACGGAGATGATTCTTATACGGCTCGAGGATGCACCAGTAAGTACTTTGGAAAAGCAAGCATAGGAAACTAACGGCGCCGAGAATGGCACAAGAGCTGGTCATGGACAGTCAATATACAAACCTGAAAACGACCGTAAGGGACAGTCTCACATTCAGAAATTCGCAAGTGGACCACTGGTGATTCCCCTTAGGGGGAACTATGTGCACATCGCTGCAATGAACAGTTGTCGTGTCGAGCACTACTTCTCTGCTGCCCTCTTGGACCAACTAGAGTGGGGGTACACGATAAAGCAACGTAGAGACCTAACCGGATCGCATTGAGCCTACCGAGATTCTCCGTATCTGGGATGCGCTCGCCCAGACGGTTATTACGAGTTTTGTATCTTTGCTCTCAAACTTGTGAAGTGCGGTCTTATCGGCTCGAACCGTCAACCCACTTGATGTCTGCCGGGTCGCACAATAAATAGGTTTGGAAGCTCAAAATCGATTCCAGAACCGCTTCTTAGACGTATAATATGATGCTAGAATCGCTTTTGAATCCCAGAATTGATTCAACGAAGATAAGGCGCTTCATTAGCCGACTTTCGAGTGTCCCAGTGGCGAACGTAGTGGCGATAAACGACTCAGTCGCGTCGCGAGTTGATTCTAACGTGTAATGTACTACATTGAATGTATCCATGACGTATAAGCGTTGTCATAATACTTTTGTACAAAATCGGTCTATCTATACTGATCACGCTAGACAAGAGTGGTTTAATTCATCTCCTCCCGCATACTGAAGCGAATGATTCATTAGTAATGAACTGTAGGGAACTCAACGATGATTTAGGTTAATAAGGGGTTCAGGGAGACAGAGTCCCGGCTGATATAATCGTGTAGTACCCAAAGGGTTCTACCCGTAAGACTCTCAAACAGTGAATCTCGTCAGGTAATGCTGCTCGAGCTGGCAGTGATCCTCAAAAAATGATAGAAGTTTACAGAGTTAACTTCCGATGAAGTTCCCAGCATTCTTCAAAGCTTCTTCCCAGAGATCTTTCTTCACATGATCGGCCATACAGTTGCAGGTACTCTGCCAAACCTTATCCCAGAACCCTCGACTGCAACTGATCGTCGAGCTCTCAGCTTGGAAATAAGAGGCAGATAACTGCTGGTCGCCATGACGTACCCTTTGGAACCATTTGCTCAACACTGAGGGTGGCGCGAAATATCCCTCTGCATTCGGATCGACACAAACCACATAGAGCGGCAAAGCACCGTCATTGGGAGATATACCAAAGAGGCTGAAATAGACTTTAGCGTACCAAGGTTGGTTGTTCTTGAGGTTGGTGTTCACAACACCGGGGTGGCACTGAGGAACTTTGATTCCTGTTCGCTTACTAAAGTAAGAGCCGAAGGCCAGCATTGCTAGTTTGCTCGCCCCGTATGCCGAGTAACAACTAATGTTACTTTGGTCGCCGGCGTTAGCTATCTTGGCAAGGGTGCTCGTTTCGCCGTCCCAACGATGAGCAGATGAGTTGGTTACGATCACGGCAGGGTTCTCGGTCTTCCTTAAAGTCGGCAACATGAGCATCATGAGAAGCACGTTGGAAAAATAGTTCACTTGTAAGATTTCATCAAGACCGTCTCCTGTTTTGGCTCCACTACGGTGAATGACACCACCGTTGAGAATCAAACGATCGATTCGATGGAACTTCTCGTTGCATGCGCTCGCGAAAGCATGAACGGATTCGAAACTGGTCAAGTCAAGATTCATGATGTCTACGGAGTCACCAAAGACTCGTGTGGCTTTCGTTGTGTCTCTTGCGGCCACCACGACCTTCCAGCCTGAATCGAGGAGTTTCTTGGCCAGCTCTAGCCCGATACCCGCGGTGGCCCCTGTGACGATTGCCAGCTTAGCTGGCTCGGGAGCAGGAGAGCTGTCAGACATGAGAACTTTCGCAAGGGTAACTGCTGAAAAGTGAGTAGATTTTCCATCAGTCGACACAG